TATATATATATATATACACATACATAAAATGTAGGAAACAATGTAAAACGCATAGAAATGTAAACTTAAATTATGGTAAAAAGAATACATAAAACATATGAGAGCATGTAAGAAACAATTTAACTATACCATTTTAGACTTTCAATTTTATTGTCTTATTTAATATATATGTGTCAGATTAGCAACATATTAATGATATTAATGAGTTTAAACCCAACAGTACTGTTTGTATTTAGGATTTATACTGAAGAGCCAGGTTTCTTCTGATAGGACCCATGTGAGCTCTGACCAGGCCCTTCTTCCTTCTCCATTCCACCTGTAAAACACAAATTATAATTTTTGTGTGCCTATTAATGCTGCATTATTTAATATGCAAGTCTGAGTCTCTTTGAAACGGTATGCACTCTCAATTATTTTACATAGTAATACATGAGTTAGTATAATAAACCTTGCATTTGTTAAAACAATGCTACTGTATTTAAACTTGCTGTTCAGATAAATGTGTGTAAAACACATTGAATTCATAATAGCGTTTAGTTGTTCTTGATGATCTAAAACTCATTCAAAGACTGAGCTGAGTTCATATTCAAATATTCAATGTACATTTTAGATGCAGATATCTCATCACATTAATTTGTCCTCATAGATATAAAGCTCTTCAGAGGATCCTCACCTGATGATGGGTCTGGTTCTGTTGATTTCACAAGTTCCTGAGTTTTAGACCAAGGTCTAAGTAATCCACCAAGGTAGTTAAAACCAGCTTTGACCCAGTTGTCTTTGTCTAGGCTGTAAAGAGGAATCAGAAGAGAAAATAATTAGTGCTGGGTAGAACAAATAGCAAATTAGACACTAAATAAATGAGTGGGTGAGTGTGTGCCTAAAGTGAAACACTCCCAAACCAAAGTCTTCAGTGTCAAAATATCTATTTAAAATTGTAATAATATTTTAGTTTTTACTGTACCTTTGATCAAATAAATACAGTAAAAAAAAAACATTGAACCTTAATCACTCCAAACTTCTGATGCTAGTGTATATAAAGACACAAATGATGGAATATATTTAAGATTCTTATGAAATAGCTATGTATACAATTTAATTTTAACACATATAAACTTTCCACTACAGAATTTTGCATTACTTTAATCTTGACCTTCTTGAGTATCATGCTCAAATAACTTACTCATCTCTAACACACACACACACACACACACACACACACCAATATACACACATGCTAAGTTAAATATGTTTAAAGTGTTTCTAGGATATTTAGAAAGTACCTTCAATAAAGTAATGTGATGCAGCATTGTGCTACAGTCTGTCCAAGCCTATCAGTCTATTTTTATTCTAGCCGACTTTAGCGATTTTCTACTAAAGCAATTAATAAAACTATTGTTCCATAAAATTGTGGTATCAAAGGTACATTAAAAAAATGAAGCTCTCTTTAATATCACAAAGAGATGTTTACTCACCTCAGGTTACAGTTTGAGTCTTGTATCACATCACCGAGCTGCTTCACTGAGTCTCCAATCTTGTTTTTTCTCAGATCAAGTTCTTTTAAAAACTGCAGTGCATTGGTTTTAGCCAAAGACTGAGCCAAACAAGCAACATCTGTAATGCCACAGTCACTTAAACTACAAAGACGACAGAGAAAGAGAGATCATCTTATTTTCAACAGATCACCAAATAAATCACTATGGTGAAGAATTGTGAGCTCTTCATGAGCCCTTCAATCAAGTGTCCTGATTTAAACAGCAATTTTAAGCATGTTGATTCTTTTGTCAGTGTTCCTCACCTCAATCTCTCCAGTTTACACTGTGAGTCTTTCAGTACGTCACATAAGTGCTTCACTCCCTTGTCTTTTATTTTATTCCCACTCAGGTCCAGCTCTCTCAGGTGTGATGGGATTGATTTCAGAGCTGAAGTCAGGATGACACACTGTTTCTCTGTAATACTGCAGTTACACAGCCTGAAAAAAAGAAACTACAATGACTCAGATCCATGTAAAGTACTGTACATTTGAGTACGGATAAATAGTACATAATATGGATACAAGTAGAGTCTTTAATTATTTAATGTAATATTTTTAAAGCTATTTTCAAAGTGTAGTTTAAAGAAATGAAAATGTTGCCTTATAGTAAGCATGAAAGACTTTGTGACTGACTTTATGGAGTATTTCCATAAATGAGTGAAACAGCTCATCAAACAAGAAAAATCAGCAAACGACATCATTTACAATGATCCAATCAAATCCTAAGGTACAAAATAAGTCATTTTTTCCCACTTGACAAGCTGTTTACATAATATATGCTTCAGATATGACACAATAAGGAAAATATAGGATCACAACTTCGGTTTCATTCAGATGTTAAGAAAATAAATGGGTCAATTTAGATTTCATGGCAACTTTAAAATAAAATAAATCGTAAACTTTAATCACACTGTAAATGCTGTACAGTAATGTTACTAACTCTAGGTTTTTCAGCTTGCATTGTGGGTTCATCAGTAGATCACTGAGGTTTTTCACTCCAGAGTCTCCTAGTTTATTCTCACTGAGGTTCAGCTCTCTGAGGTGTGATGGGTTTGATTTCAGAGCTGAAGTCACATCAGAACAACCTTCATCTGTTATTTCACACTCACTTAACCTACATTGAGAGAAATGAGATAAACTCTTCATTCTGTTACATTCAAATACCTAAACAAATTTTCCTTAGGCTTTGGTTTGAAATATTTGTGAACGTTCCTCACCTCAGTCTCTCCATTTTACATTGTGAATCCTTCAGTATGTCACATAAGATATTCACTCCTGTGTTCTTTATTTTATTGTCACTCAGGTCCAGCTCTCTCAGGTGTGAAACATTTGAAAATAGAGCTGACATCATGCTGACACACTGATTCTCTGTAATACTGCATCCACACAGACTGAAGACACAAAGAGAAAAGACAAGGATGACCATCTTAGTGAAGAGCTGCAGCAGGAATTTTGTTTGTTTTAAACTCATTCACACTAGTTCTGTATGCTGGAAAACACTGTTTCTTCTTTCTTTTTTAAAAACTATTTATTTGATGTCTCTCTTTATTCTCTGGTGTTATAGCAGATTTATGCAAGAACACAATCAGTACACTGTATCAAATGCTTGAAATGAATTACTAGAAATTTTTAAAAAGTGTGACCAAAAGGGAAAGCCCAGAAAGTGCACTGCCATAAACAATGTAACTTAGGAGCTGTTGCCTTAAAATAAACTTTAATCACACTGTAGCTGTACAGTATATTATTACTAACTTCAGTTTTTCAAGCTTGCATTGTAAATTGCTTAGCAAAACACCAAGGTTTTCCACTCCACCATCTCCCAGTTTATTTCCACTCAGGTCCAGTTCTCTCAGGTGTGATGGGTTTGAATTTAGAGCTGAAGTCAGGATGAGACACTGTTTCTCTGTAATACTGCATTTACACAGACTGAAGACAACAAGAGAAAAGAAACTGGCTCAGATCAATGATGACCAATAGATGTGTGAATGATCTGAAGATTCTTAATAGTAACCTGTTTTTGGGCCTTCAAGAGATCTGTGTTGTACTTACTTTATTTTGTTTATCTCATTAATATAATTTCCCGCATATTCACTCATTTTATTTTTAGATTTTTCTTATGTTGTGTGCTGTTTTCTTCACAAGTAAGTTAGAGATAAGAGTGTCTTTAACTCCAGGTATTTAACATCACAGGACAATATTGTGAAACAGTAATTTTCCATTGCTTTTGCTTTTATACTAACACTTGTTGAATTTGTTCTAGTCAGATGAAGTCTGCAAATAAGATAATTTAAACTCTGCTCTTTTTAACCATTTCATCTCCTGCTTTCTGCACATCCTCTGCCTCTTAGGTTGATAAAAGAGTTGACTTTTTTGACTATTTGGGCTGCGTTTCCCAAAAGCATCATAAGCCTAAGTTGATCATAGCTCTATTGGTGACAATGAAGCTACGATCAACTTAGGCTTACGATGCTTTTGGGAAACGCAGCCTTGGATTTATTCATTATATGATATCAAACGATATATAGTGGTTCAGTTAAACCTGTGTCGATAACTATGCCAGAATAATTGACTGTAATTACATAATGTCCTATCTCCAACAGCTGAAATATTAAATTAATAACTGAAAGTACTGTTTAGGCTTGACATTACATCTTTCCTGCTTTACGTAGAAAAACACTTCGGATTCCCTTCACAATGACAAAACAATATTATATACTATTGCAATATTTTAAACCATGTAAAATACTCACTGAATTATGTTCAATTTGCAGTGTTTATCCTGCAGTAGAGCAGCGATCTGATTCACTCGTGTATCTCCTAGTTTATTTTCACTCAGATTCAGCTCTCTCAGGAGTAATGGGTTTTTACCCTGAACTTTCATTGCATACTGACAGGCTTCATCTGCACCAGGACCCAAAAACCTGCAGGAAAGGATATGAGGATATAATTCAGTTACCACACATTTATGGTGTAATGTAATTCAAAAAAGTCAGCTTTTTAAATCCTGAAATCACTTTAATGTTACTTAAACAGTATGCTGTTTTAATGAAATATTTACATAAAAATAATTAGCCAGTATATTATTAATTTCATCACATCTCACCTCAGAGTCTTCAGTTTATAGTTTTTATCCTGTAGTAAATCATTGAGCTGCTTCACTCCTGATGGTCCAGGATCATTTCCTCTGAGATCCAGCTCTATCAGGTGTGAAGGGTTTGATCTCAGAGCTGAAGCCAGAGCTTTATAACCTTCTTCAGTGATACTGCAGTCTAAAAGTCTACAGAAAAGAGATCATATCACTGAAACAATGTTTTAAAACAAACAAACACAAAAAACATTTTATTTTCTCTTGTGATCAGAGAACAATTCATCATCATCTTAAGTCTTTCTTTTAGCTTTAATTTTCTGTGGTAATCTGAACTTTGAATAAAACTGAACAGTGTTGGGTAAATTACTCAAAAAAGTAATCCACTACAAATTACTAATTACTTCTTTAAAATTGTAATTTGATTACATTACTGATTACTGCAATTAAAAAGTAATCAGATTACTAATTACTTTACGTTGAAGTTGCTTTACGTTCAAGTTTGCTTCAAGTTATCAAACCTAAAAAAATACACTGCAAAGTGAAACTCAAAGTTCTTTCATTAATTTAATATGGACTGAAACATTACATAAATATTAAAACAGCATGTGGTTTTGGCCTTTGTTTGGCCGCGGAAGCATGGTAGTGGGCTTTGTTTTGAACGCACTTCATTCCATGAAACGCTTATTCTTGGCCCCATTTATTCTTGTAAATAATTGACCAACAAAAAACATATAAAAATTAAGATACAAATTATACCAAACGAAACTCGTTCGAAACAAGGGATTCTACAAACAAAAACGTACGAAGTAGTCAAAAAATTATGTCTGACCCACTTCCCCTCTTCCGGCGTCCTGCCGTCCAATTTACCACGCCCTTATGACGTTTACAATTTTCTTAATTAGCAAATTGAACAAAACAAAACACAAACAAATAATATTTAAACATAAATAATATAAAATAAAAATACTTTCCTAAATGGCTATAACATACCGGCCCCTAATTGTTGTCTTGTAATTAATTACAGTAATATATCATAAGTAGTCATGATCAAATGTTTACAATCAACATACATTATTTATGGTTCATAACCACAGCCAGTACATATAGTACATAGAGGTCATTGCAGTTTTACTATTTTATTCCAAAAGCTCATTAATATAATGTCCATATAGAATTTGAATGATCACTTGCATTTTTTCCTGCATTTTACAAACTTAAAATGTTTCAAAATATTTTAAATGTTTCATTATCATACACATAAGAGTAATACATTCTTTGAAACTGTAAAAGGTCTACTTTTATTTGTATACACTCGCAATATCAACAAAACACTGTGCTTTTGTAAAATAAAGAAAACAAATAGGGTGCGCTTTCTGCATTTTCAGTCTCCGTGAATATCTTCCTGACACGCATCATTAAATAAAAGAAAACTCAGCGAATACTTGACACACCGACATGAGAAATATATATAAAGAAAGCTTGAAGTGTCTATTTTTTAAATGAAGTAAGTCTTGTCTTAACAAATATTCTCTGATAAAATAATTCTTATGAAACCAACGCGAGGTACAGTCTTTTGTCTGAGCTCATCTAGCCTATAATGTGATCTCGCCCACGCACATCGCCCACTGTAAAATAATCATCCACATAAAACCAGGCTTAAGACAAGCAAACATGTAAACGCCCACATCACCTCTGTAAACAAACAAAGATTCATCAAGTTCATCTCGGCTACTTTTCGTTTTTGGAAGAAGACGCGCTGTGAGGAATAAACCTTAAATTTACCTCAGAAAAATGAGATGCGATAGATTTCCCAAACTATAATGCCAGACTAAAATATGTGAAATCAAGTGCAACATTTTGAAATATGCAACCTTTCATTGCATCTAAATGTTGTAGGACTCGTCTGCATTTTAGCTTGCATTCTCTAGTGATTTATTAAAGGGCATACTGATGCGTAAAACATGATTTTTACTTCATATCTTTTAACACTGCATTTGTAACTTAAGTAATTTTATTGACATTAGTGACTGTAATCAAATTACATACATTTAAAATGTAACGCATTACATTACTGCGTTACCAGGAAAAGTAACTAGAATACAGTTACTATGTAACGTGTTATACCCAAATCTGAAACTGAATGTTATTACTAAAATCAGACAATGTTTCACTTTGCTCTCTTACCTCAGTTTCTCCAGTGTGCAGTGTGCATTCTCTAATCCCTTTTGGAGTTTCTTCACTCCTGAATCCTGCAGATTATTGTTGCTCATGTCAAGTTCTTTCAGACTGGGGTTTGATCTCAGGACTGTAGCAAGAGCTGAACAGCTTTCCTCTGTTAGACCACAATCACACAGCCTAAAATGTTGAACAGGAGAGGGAGAATTTACAAACAGTGCTTGATGCCAACATTCAGTTATTACTGAGGAGAATTGTGCTTTGATCACCTGATTTAAGTAACATACATTAAATGTAAAATAATAAATGAAATCAATACTCACTGAAGTCGGTTGAGGTTACAGTGTTTATCCTGCAGCAAAGCTGTGAGCAGATTCAATTTTTTTAGGTCTAGATTATGCCCACTCAGATTCAACTCTCTCACGAGTAATGGGTTTTTACACACAATTCTAGTCACATACCGACAGGCTTCATCTGCAGGACTTTGTAAAAACCTGAAGACAAAGCAAATACAGTGACATTACCTGCAGTTAGACATAAACAATTTAGTAATGTGATAAAAAGCAAACTCAAACAGACATAGCTATCTTTGTGAACAGCCCTGTAGGCATACATGTATTTAGTGGAAAGAGAATTAAACCAACATAAAGATGTAAAATTATTGCAATGTATTTTAAGAACACTCACCTCAGTGTTTCCAGTTTACATGATCGATTCTGTTTCACTTTAATGAGCTGCTCCACTCCTGATTGTCCAGGATCATTTCCTGTGAGATCCAGCTCTATCAGGTGTGAAGGGTTTGATCTCAGAGCTGAAGCCAGAGCTAGATAACCTTCTTCAGTGATACTGCAGTCTGAGAGTCTACAAAAAATAACAACTTGATTTAAAATGAACATTGCAGATCAAATTTATTACTTTAGGCATTATACTACCTGTACATAATGTGCAACTTCATGTCAACTAACTGTCACTAAAGTATTAGTAGACTGTTAGGTTAAGGTTAGTAAAATAAGTTGACATGTATTTGCGAAGTTTCTTCTGCAGAATGTCTGTTGGTAACCATCAAAATAAACTGTTAGCATATTTTATAGGGATAGTTCACCCAAAAATGAAAATTTGATGCTTATCTGCTTACCCCCACGGCATCCAAGATGTAGGTGACTTTGTTTCTTCAGTAGAACACAAACAAAGATTTTTAACTCAAACCGTTGCAGTCTGTCAGTCTTATAATGGAAGTGAATGGGAATCACGACTTTGAGAGTAAAAAAAACCCCCCACACAAACAAAACCAAATTAAACCCTGTGGCTCGTTACGATACATTGATGTGTAAAGACACGAAACGATCGGTCTGTGCAAGAAACTGAACAGTATTTATATAGTTTTTTTTTTACCTCTGATGCACTGCAATGTCTGAACTGTCCTGTTAAAAATCTTCATTTGTGTTCTACTGAAGAAACAAAGTCACCTAGATCTTGGATGCCCTTGGGGTAAGCAGATAAACATCAAATTTTCATTTTTGGGTGAAATACTTTTTTGACAGTAAAATACTGTTAAAAATACGGCTTTTGGAAGTGAAAAAGAAAAAGTCATTGTATAATTTACAGTGAAAAAACGTAAATTGACACTCCCAGAATTCCCTGCATGACACTTCATATTTGATGTTTTTTTTTGTTGAATTAACATGTTTCTTCTTAGTTTTTTCTTATCACTTGTGTACATTAGGGTTTCAGCTTACATCTAATATTGTTAAATTAATGTTTATTGCATTATTTCAGTATCATGTGTGTCACCATGATGGGGTTTAGTGTTTGTGGGAATGACACTGTGCACCTTCTATATATAAATATTTTATATATAAATGTTTGTGGTAAACGTTGGTTCATCATGTGACTTTCTCATCACCACCAGTTTTTGGTGGTTATCAGTGCATTACAATGGTTCAAAACAGATATTAACACTTCAGTATGTTGGTTTATTAACATTACATCAGTTAATGGAATACGGTATTTTATTGTGAATTTAAGTGAAGTCTGTAAAACCTAAAAGTTGCTACCATATTTTTTAAGGTGAAGTTCTGGCAACCACAGCTGCCGGTATTTTACCGTAAATGTCACAGATTTTTTTTTACAATGTAGGAAACAGTATGAACCACTGCAAGCTGTGTAAACAGGAAGTGTTCGTTTCAAGAAACGACTAAAAACGCATCTCTTTCATCTTTATTTGACCCTCTAACTCTAGCACTTTCTATTCTAATTCTGTCTATTTGTTTTCTTTTTTTATTAAACAAAAAAAAAACTTGACCCTTTAAGACTTGCACTCTATTTGTTTTCCAACTACTTGTTCTCTTCAAAAAAAAGGCCTCTAACACTAGCTTTCTCTATTCTATCTATTTGTTTTCTTTTTATTTATTATATAATTAACAAAAAAAAAAAACTTTGCTACATGTACTGCGTTTGGCTAACTGAGACTTGTCATAGCACTTACATATTATTGCACTTTTGTTGATTATGATTGCTTCCATTGTCCTCATTTGTGAGTCGCTTTGGATAAAAAGCGTCTTCTAAATGACTAAATGTAAATGTAATGTAACTGTCTGAACTGAACTGGTTTTGTGAGAGAACGCAAATATCTTTGCGAGAGAATGCAAAAGTTTTGTGGGGGAACACAAATATCTTTGCGAGAGAATGCAAAGTTTTGTGAGCGAACGCAAAGTTTTGCGAGCGAACGCAAAGTTTCTCAGGGGAATGCAAAAGTTTTGCGAGAGAACGCAAAAGATTTAAAAAAAATAATAATAATAATTCCTCTCACCCCATATTTTTCCCACCACCATGTCCCTTTAGGGGCTCTTTAAAAATGCAATTGCAAACCAGAAATAAATTGTGATCCACTGTGGTTAAACCAAGTAAAATGCTGGTTTTGCAATACCAATACATACTCAAAATGTAGATTCAAAATTTGGAAAATTAAAAATGATCAAGCAACCAACATTACAATTTTTGGACCCATTGTATTGTGTGAAATGTACTCACTTCAGTATCTTCAGTTTACACTCAGGTTTCTTTAGTCCCTCACAGATCTCTTTGACTCCTGAGTCCAGCAGAAGACTTTTGCTCAGGTCCATCTCTTTCAGGGTGTTGTTTTTGGAGAGGACAGTAGCTAGAACTAAGCAGCTTTTCTTTTTCAATTTAATATTATTCAGCCTGAACAGAAAAACAGCATTATTTATTAAAAATGTCAGACCATGGTCTTTAAATATACTTACACATGTGCACCACAATGGCTAAAATTGCTATTTTCTCTAGCACCTTAGATACAGTTGCAGATACAGTATTGCAGAATTTTGTTTCCAATATTGTCCCCAATAACATTTGCAGTAATTAATTACAGTTTCTGCTTCCATATTGCAACAATACTTATTGATGAAATCGAATTTCTAATTGCTCTTATGACAACAACATTACATTTTTAATCATTAACTATCAATATTGCTCTGTAATTTTAATTTCATTAGTAGTTAATTAGGGATGGGTTTCCCTACTTCAACGATACATTTGATTAATTTAATTTTAATCGCTCTTATCAATTTTAATGATGACATCATTAAAATTTTAATCATGAACTACCATTTCTAATTTGAAATTCTAATTTAATTTGCCATCAAGTTTTGTTCCTATCTGTTAGGCTGTTTTTTCTTTTCTTTCCTTCAGTTAATTCATTAACTCAGCTAAACTTTCATAGGTTTCCCCTTTGGCTTAAGTCTGTTAGATGATAGTGCGCCCCCTAGTGCTTGGTCGGTGAAGTGACAGTTGTCTCGGTGAGTCACAGTGAGCAGAGCCACCTGTTCTGACGTAACCTGGTGCGGGCTGGTGGTGAAACCGAATATTTCCATCCTAGTATTGCAAGTGAAGGCACGCAGTGAGGCATTAGCAATCGGGCATCGGAGGAGTCAACAAAGGCTAACTGGGCGAAGGTTTGGATACACCACCCTGTCGGCTATTGACGAGGTACATCAGACTACGGGTCTGCACTGACGGGTCAGCTTGCAGGGCTTAGCCCCATTCTCTTTTCAGGCCAGTTAGTCGTTGACGTGCCTCACCCGAGTGTTGCCCGGTTGTGCTAAAAGCCGTAGCTGTTTGAGAGGCTCACTGCAGTATGTGAGGACAGAGTGTCCGGTGACCTTACAGGAGCTCACTTGGTGCGCTCAGGCAGTGGGCCCTGCCACTGGACTCCACTGAACCAACTTAACTCACCACCAAGCCTAGTCTATAAGAGCACTGGCCCATCCAGCTAGTAAAACCCCAAAAATAAAATTAGGGTTTTCCTCAATACATAGGTTAGTTAGTTTTATCCTCTTAACACAGTAAAACCAACCCCCTAGGTTTATCGACTCAACAGCGTCACCACCCTGTAATTTTTCCTAACATTGGGAGCAAAACTTCTCTCTCCTTCTTCTCTCTCTCGCAGCTGTCTTGTTCTGATTTGACTACTGCTGCTGTTTTTGGGATGTACCTGTGAGAATCATAAAAGCAGAGAAATTTAGAAACATTTAACAAATATTTGTGAAACTTGAACACTTCGTTTCAAAATTGTTTGACTCTCACCCTACCTTCCCTTCTCACCCTGTGATCCTACCCAGCTAAGGCTAAAGCAGGTCAACAAGAGGACTGATAGGCGTCCGCCAAATATTGAACACATGTCTAGAAACGCTCTAATCGGTGTATGGTTGTCAATCCTACCAGCTGAGAAACCAATACTGTCATTGTTATTGTCTTTATTTCGCCCCTGAGGAATTTTAATAACAATCACAGTCCTGGTATTTAGAAATCCCATTTCCAAACCCCAGTCTAGAAGTATCCTTCTAAATCAAACTTAACAAAAAAAAAAGAGAAAGAAAATTTCATTGTACTCACTCTGCAACCAGAAAAGGGTATTTTGTTTTGTCTTTCTCTCTCATCTTACCATTAGCTCTTATCTTTCTTTGAAAAAAAAAAACCTTTCTCTTATAGGAAAAGTGGAAGCAGCCAATTATTATTCTGTTCCTTGCTCTGTTTGTTATTCTTCTTTTCTCCCTCTCTTCTCTAGCTGTGCTACCTGTGTCTGCTAACTAATTGTCCCCACAGAGACTACAAATTAGAAGCACGCCCACCAGAGGATCACAGTCACTGAGAACCACACTCACCTGCCCATTACACACTCAACGTCAAACCACACTTGACATTGCACACTTACACCTCTGTTTTTACTTGTTTGTTTTGTTTTGTTTTCTCCTCTTCAAGGTCTGTGTCAGTCTAGGTTCTAGATCTCCCTCACCGCGTCAAAACATGTCTCGCACAAAAGACTCTGTTGGCCACTGGGATGACCTCGAGACATGGCTAAGTGTTGCAACAGACAGCCTCCTACCTAAGGCTGCTGAAACACTGAAGCATCAGACACAGGACCAGCTGGATGGCAACATAACAAGCCTTATGAGACAAGACCAAAGTCAGAGCTACAGTCACAACGACGCGTCGAGCAGCTAGAACTGGAGGCTCAGGAATGACGGGAAGGGCCCGATCAGGTGGAACAAGGTGCCGAGGAGGAGATCACCAGGCTAAAATAGACCCTAGCAGCTACTACCCAAGAAATGGAACAAGGCAAGGCAGACTACGCTGATCTCTCCAACAAGCTATAGTATGCAGAACAGCTCCTGCAAAAGGCAAAGGCCGACTTCAGAGACAAGAACGGCAGAATTAAAACCCTTAAAACTCACCTGGATGAGTCAAGAAATGAGATCAGCCGCCAAACACGACAGCTGGACTACATCAAAGAGGAGTCCGACAGCGTCAGAGAGGAACTTAGACATGCCTACGAGCTGAGCCAACAAGGACACGACGGGCACCAGTCTCACCCCTGCCGAGCAGGACCGGGTCCCCTGTTCCTGGACTGACACGTGATCAAAAGGGGGAGGGGGCAGTGCTGAAACATTCACCAGCTCCCTCTGAAGAACTTTAGCTCACGACAAAGTTAAAAGAACCTGCTCCAGCCAGCCACAGATCATTGCTCAAAGACCTTGACAAGCTCACCAGGAAAATTGGCAAATTCACCCCAAGTGTGCCAGGTAGCCAGGATGTCCAAGCTTATCTGCAAGATATCGATTTTCACCTGGAAATGAGACCCAATGTCACTGGCAAAGACAGATTCTATTTGCTCTGAACAACATCCAGCACTGAAGTGCGCAGCTTCCTGGACCGGCAGCCTGCTCACACAAAAACTGATTACCACCTGCTCCGAGAAGCCCTCATTAAAGAATTTGCTGCCCTGGAGATGAAACAAGGTCGTCATGAATCTCCTCAAGCCAACTACAGCCGACTCAGACGAGCATACTTCGGAACTCGCAACGAACCTGACATGGAAGATGATCTGAACTTCAAAACTCTCTTCCTGAGAAACCTCCATCCTGGGGTAAGCCACCATCTTGGCGTCCTTGCATGTCCGCGAGCAATGAGTGCTAAGCAGTTGCGAGACTTGGCGCATAAAGCCTACGGCAAAAAAAAGATGGCCTCAGAAAAGGGCGCCAAATCCACAGCGGTTCTTGACTTCAACACTCAAAGTCAGGGACTGGCTCTAGAGGACGCCCAACATCAAGACCATGCCAAACCGCCACCCAAAGAGTGGAATGCACCCTCGTCCAACAGAGAACAGGACTCCCACGCTGGTACCCAACCTAAACAGAGGAACAACCGCTGGGAAGGACCGCGTGGACGACAACACTCACCCGGACGTCACTGGGAGAAGTCATGGAACCAATCCAGACCTCATGAGAATCAATGGGAGAGATCATGGAATCAACCAAGCTCATTTGGAAACTCAAGAGGGAAAAACTGATGGGAATCCAACGGAACCTCCAAGGGAAAACGACAAACACACCCTGGAGCAACCAGCCCAAGGAATCGACGGAAAAACTCACAAAGATTTCAAGCTGACCGAGCTCAAAATGAACCCACACAAGAACAAAAGCCATCACCGTGTTTCGACTCACAAGAACTGATGAAGGTAATGATGAAAGAGTTATTCCAACGCAAGGAGGAGGATCGGAAGTGGAAAAAGAAAGACAAACCAGATTCAGCCTGACTAGCAGCTGGACGAGAAGGCAGCGACCACTTGACCCAACAAACCACAGAGAACAGCACTTCCTCACCTCACTCTCAGAGAACCGTAACCTCCATAACTTCAGACGGACAAGAAATCCTACCTGAACAACCCGTAAAACAGTCAGAAACTGACCCAACACCTGATGTGTCAGATCACAGCAGCGTCCAACAAACACCTGCTGACGAAACCACTCAAGTTCCCGAAAGTGCTGTCTTGTTCGTCTGCTACTTCTCCGAAGAACACTAGATCAGTCCTGACATCCTACCTGTCTCATCCCAAACTCCAGTCCCTCAACTACTGGGCGACCTCATTGAGAAAGGTATAGCACGAAAGTTTTACCTCTCCATCATCATCGAACGCCACATCAAAGTCGAAGCCCTTTTGGACACGGGAGCCGACATCACTCTAATGTCAACTGAACTCCTTGAAGAAGTCCAAGAGAGAACAAACGGACCCCTCAAATTCCAAAGGTGCGAGCTGAACCTTCAAGCATATTCCCACACGGCCTACAACTAAAATATATGGCCCCAATTCACCTAACTGTGGGACAGATGGACCTTGTTCACCCAATATAAGTCTCACCACTCAACACGTATCCACTCCTCATTGGAAAATACCTGCTTAATCGCTTTGAACCCTTCCTTTCCTCTGCTCACTGCAGGCTGCTCGCCTGACTCAGACTCAGGCCCCCCTCGAATCATGACTGCCATAAATGTCCACGACACATCAGTGTCTGAAGCAGCACTAGCCCTGTGGGCAGAGAACTCCGCTATCAGACTGAAGCTTTTCAGAGCATTGAAGCAAAGACAGCAGAGCCTCCCACACGTCTCAAGACACAACCGCTTCCCTCTCAGTCCCTGGTCGATAACCATGGCTACCTCCAAGATCATCTGCGCTGTGGACATACGATGGAACAACAGACACCTGAGTCACTACTTCCTCGTTGTCCCCAACCTACCTCATGACATCTACATTGGAGCAGACATCATGGTCCGGCTCAATGCCTGTGTGGACATCGTGAACGACGTCATATGGGCTCCCCTGTTGCACCAACTGACCACTGCAGTCAACCTCAAGAACCTTCGATCTGGTCAAACAATGCCAGACGCATGTGCCATGATCAGTGAGCAAGAAGCTACAATACCTGCCTACAGCAAGAGTGTCAGCGTCCGCCTCAACATGCGACCTGGCCAAACTCTCAACAGTAAGCTAGGCTTCTTCCAACCTTCCAGGACCTGCCTAAGACTAGGACTGACCTTAGAAGCCACACCTCTCATTGAAATGTCATCTCGTGTTGTGTATGTGTTGTTCAACAACTGTATGGCCAAAGACATCAACATTCCCAAAGCCAGTCACCTGGGATGGCTCATCAACCAGGCGTTCCTAGACTTTGAGCTAATGGTACCTGTCATAGGCCCCATACCATACCATAACTAATGTCAGACGAATACGATGACACCGTAACATTCACAAGACCCCATGAAATCATTGCCATCACTTCTATTCTGCCAGTGTCCAGAGAAAGTGTCCGCGACAGAATCACCTGCACAGGTGACCCTCAAGGCCCAGAGCCCCTCAAATGACTCAACAATTGAGGAACCCTACGCCGGGTTCAATGCATTCGCAAAGGACTCCCTGGATTGTGGCCTGACCAACATCCACACGGTGCGCATCCCCACAAGCCCAAATGCGCCACCCACATTTGTAGGACAGTACAAGATTCCAATAGCGTCAAATGAAATCAGTGCAAGAAATCATAGACTCCATGCTGGAAAAAGGGGTCATCCGCCCCTGTAACAGCACGTACTCTGCCCCGATATGGCTAGTTATAAAGCCCAACGGCAAATGGCGACCCACCATTGACTATCGCAAATTAAACCAGCAAGTACCCTTATCGCGATGGCCTATAACTTAGTTGGACCAGGAGATCCCCAAAATCAAAGGCTCAACGATCCTTTCCACGCTGGACGTCACCTCAGGATTTTGGACAATCCCTGTCCACCCTGATGACCAACACAAGCTGGCATTCACCTTTGGCAATCGACAATACACCTTCACATAGTGCCCCTTTGGCTATGCCAACTCACCAGCAGAATTCAACATCTTCCTGAACAAAGCATGCCCTGATGCCAGAACGAGAGGCAACCTTGTTTACGTGGATGATGTTCTTCTGAAAAGCTCAAATGTGGCAGACCACCTCAAAGAATTCGATCATGTCCTGAACCAGATGGCAATGGCAGGAGCGAAAATCGCCTTCCACAAAGGACAATGGTGTAAAACCAGCGTGGTAACCAACGCACGCATAGCTACCTGGTTAATGACGCTCCAAGGATGGAATGTCGAGGCGAAATATGCCCAAAACCACAAATCATCTCTAGGAAACGGGCTAGCAGCCTGCCAGAACTGTTCAACGGACATGCTGCACACAGCAGCAGAACCCAAAGAACCTTCACAGCCACAACTGACAAACCACAGGTACTTCGAGGAGAATGTGTGTGAAGGGATGCCCACAGCATATGTCGATGGCTGCTCCTACAATCAACAGGGGAACTTGAAAGCTTGTTCCGACTCGAACTACACCCGTCTAAGCTTCACATGCCATCTAGCTGGATGGAAACAGAATGGATTCAAGACAGCTAACAAAAAGCCTGTCAAACATCAGGAACTCTTCCAAGCATGCGATGCCATTGTCACTAAACATGACATGATCGTTTATTGGAAAAAGGTCAGAGGTTACTCACGTCAACCAGGACAAGACAAAGATCTCAATGACCTCACTGATGCCCTGATGTAAAACAAGGTCTCTTTACTAGCTGGAAAACTGGTGCTGAATTGATCTTAAGCAACTAAAGATAAGCCAAGTCTCTGCTTTTGTGATTTTCTTGGTGCGATCTAAGAACAAATAACTTACTAGACTTTTGGGACTTCCTCAGGACTCCGTTAATCCTCATCCTTCGAACTGTATGTGTGTGTGTGTGTGTGCGTGTTTTCATTAGTTTAGTACCATGTTATCTATAGAGTAGCTCAAATAAATTCTTGTGTCATTATAAGAATTATTGTCTTGTGTCGTGTATTTAAAGTTAAACTTTGCCCAGATTTTGCTACCTAGCTTGTAGCTTATAAATTATCACTAGCATGTATTAACCTGTGGCCAGGGATAATACAAATATCCAAATTGTTAAGATATACTGATGTTAACGTCTCGCTGGACGAACAGTTGATAAAGTGTAAACTATCAAATTTGGAATCAGTTCAATCAGGTTGATTTTGAATCTTCAGATTCGATTACCCTCTGAAAAGAGTTAAATTCCTTACAGATTACAAAAATAAGTTTATATGTATGGACAGTCATCAGGACTGCTCAGATATTATCTGTCTGACTGTTACCATTATGTTTGTCACTGAGGAACAGTCAGATCTAACACAAGTATGGAGTGCCACAAAGATCTGTCTTAGGTTCTTTTCTGCTTCCATTATACATGCTGTCCTTTGGAAATATTACAACACAGGATTACATTTCCTGGGTGTTGTCTTTATCTGTAGAGGAGTTTTCTAACTAGTATATTACATATGTTACCATAACTGTTTATGTTAACAAAACATTTGTGACCTGTGCTGGCAAAATGAGTCACAATGAGCAAATTTTCAAAAAAGATTTTCAATTAAAAGACCTTCAAAATGATGTACGAGCTGTTAGAATCAGACAAAAAATGACTGAGCTACACCTGTTTAAAGTCGGTAAGAGTCAGCATTATCGTCCATTTCCGTATCGCAAGAGTCCATTTTGAGAAAAATCGACTTAAAGTTTTATGACGGTTCCAAAGCAAAATAACCTAGGAATGTTGCATCTTTTCCTCCAATTCTTTTCTTAATGATCATTACTATATTAATAATCACAATATTGCTGTTTTTTAATTTTATCTTTGTTGTTATAAATAAGAACAGATGCAAAAATAGAACAAATATAAGAAAGAAACAAGTGTATACTGCATTTTTTTTGTATTTTACATCTAAACAAAAGCATTAACAAAAACAAATGATCAAATGTAAAAATCACTTTAGTGTGTTTATTACAAATAAATTATTAAATGATTATTAAAAATACAAAAGCAGTACAATCAAGTGCGGCGAGTGATTCCGTCTTTTCTTTTATTGTTTGATTAATATTAATGCGACATACGGCCTATTTTATGACTTACTGTAATGCATGAATCTAATATAATGTTACACATCCAGTGTTTTTCCCCAGAAGTTCACTTAAGACATGACATAAATTATGTTTGTCTGAATACTTAAATACTGTAATTCTGTGTATGTGTATATATCGGGATTGCGTGCTGTCGGTGTTGCCTTTATGCAGGAGCTTTGGATGACAGTCTGTGCAAGAACCAAGCGGAGAAAAGGTTCTCCTCTCAGAAAACATACAAATAAAGATCATTTTAGATGTTTAATTACTATTTGGAGCATTGGGATCACTAGAGGAGGGCTTAATGAACAAATTTTTGTGAAAACCTCAAATTCGACCAAAATCGAGATTTTTTTTAGTTAAACTCATTTAGCCAGCACGGGTCACATTTTGCTGAGCTACAGTAAATGTGACCACACCTTAAGAGAGAAGTTATAAAGTATAAAATCACGTTCACTCACTTTATTTTCTTCACTTTGCAATGAGAGTCCACCAAAAGAGCAGATATTTTCTCCCATTCCAGGTCTCCTAGTTTAAGTCTGCTCAGATCCATTTCTTGCATCAGTAATGGATTTTCACCTAGAGCTTCAGTGAGATATTTGCATGCCTCCTCTGCAGCAGAATTTCTCAAAAAGCTACAGAAAGAAGAGAGTTTTAGATTAGATCCTGTATTATTACAGTTGCATACCTTTTACATCTCCCATCCTCTCTATGGATGCAGTGTGGTACTAAAGTGTAGTAAAGTGCAGTGTTGTGTAGTCTGGTTAAAAACTGTTTCACTGAGAAAAGTTGGGTAACACTTTATTTTAAGGTGTCCTTTTTACACGTTACATGTACTTATTATAATAGCAATAAATTATGCATAATTACATGCAAGTAACCCTAACCATATAGTAAGTACATGTAGCTAATTAATATTACTCAGTACTTAAATGTATAATTACATTGTAACAAGGGCACCATAAAATAAAGTGTAACCAAAAGATTTTTGTACAAATCAGGGAATAAGTATGCATAATTTGTTGCTTATGTTTTACTATATTTTTTGTCGTACAAAAATAATAAAAAAGTTGTGATGGATTTGAAATTGTTTGAATTGCAATTCAGTAAACTCTTTCTGTCTTTCCAATGCTGCACCCGCTCATTTGTCTCAATATCATAGTTTAACACTCCTGATTTCATGTCTGTAGCTTATTTTGAAATATTTGAAGGCTTTTATTACCTGATGTTTTTTAATTTAAACCATCCACTCTGCAGGAAATCCATGATCACCTTCACTCCAGATTGTCCAGGATCATTTCCTCTGAGATCCAGCTCTATCAGGTGTGAGTTTGATGCCAGAGCTGAAGTCAAAGTTTTATAACTTTCTTCAGTGATACTGCAGTCTGAAAGTCTGTATATTATAAAAGCAAAAATCTCATATAATATTTGCAAAAATCTCTGTCAATAGAAAAGCTACAAATGCATTAAGATGTTTCAAATGAACATCTAAATATTTTACGAAATAAAGACAGTTGATGCAAGTGGAAAATTTTTTAATTGAATTGAAAATGTTATTTCAGCCGTAATAGCCTTCAGTTAATCTAATTAAATTATTCATTTTCTAATCATTTACTAATGTACATTCACATACATAAATGTACATAAATTAAAGTACACACTTCAGTTTCTCTAATCTGCACTGTGGATTTTGCAACAGACAACATATATTATTGACTCCAGTTTCTCCAAGTTTATTCCCACTCAGATCCAGCTCTTTCAAGTTAGAAGGGTTTGAATTAAATGCTGAAGTCAGAGCAGCACAACCTTCTTCTGTAAAACTGTTATTATTCAGCCTGCAGAGAAAACAGGAAAAAAACACAGGAATTATAAACATCAGTGACATGCTTAATTGCATCTGCTCATATTATTTTTATTTTTAAGTTGCATCTGGTAAATGAATACTGTAGAACAAGTGTTAATTCTAACCAGTTATTGAAAAAACAATAAAAAATTTACTGTTACATTAAGGATGTTTTAATGCAAAGTACAAATATGAAAAGCATGTAAAATACTTACTGAATTATGCTCAGTCTACAATGTTTATCTTTCAGTAGAGCAGCAAGCTGCTTCACATTCTTTAAGTATTTATGTTCACTTAGATTCAGTTCTCTCAGGAGTAATGGATTTTTACCCACAATTCCAGTCACATACTGACAGGCTTCATCTGCAGCAGGACCCAAAAACCTGCAGAAGGAAGTTGAAGCAAGATTCAAATGAGTTCTCACCTTTTATGGTATAATGTAAAAAATAGAAAGTACTTCTTAAAACCCCATGTTTTTATCTTGAAATAATTATTAACTCTGATGCAACAAACAGACTGTTTTAATGAAATAATATTTCTGTAAATTATTCAACTGCATGCCATTTATTTTTATTATTTCATCACATCTCACCTCAACAGTGTCTTTAGTTGACTGTTTGGATCCTGTAGTAGATCACTGAGCTGCTTCACTCCTGATTGTCCAGGATCATTTCCTCTGAGATCCAGCTCTATCAGGTGTGAAGGGTTTGATCTCAGAGCTGAAGCTAGAGCTATATAACCTTCTTCACTGATACTGCAGTCTGAAAGGCTAGAACAGGAATGAAAATGTAACATTCAGATGATTAACAATATTGTACCCAAACAATATTAATCCCTAAAAAGTAAACAAAAACTGATTACTCTAAATTAAGGTAAAAAAGGTCCAGAGATCTTAAAAATGTTAGGCATCAGCTCACCTGAGTTTCTCCAGTTTACAGTTCTCTTTCAGTCCATCAGAGAGCAGCTTCACTCCTGAATCTTCCAGATTATTATTGCTCAGGTCAAGATCCTTCAGACTGCTGGAGTCTGAACTGAGAACTGAAGCAAGAGCTGAACAGCTTTCCTCTGTTAGATCACATTTACTGAGCCTGAAATTTAAAATAATAAACATCAGTAACAAAGACACAGGATGGCACATCAACACGTCATTACTGCTATGTTGACTGAACATGATGGTGAAATGTACTCACTTCAGCATCTTCAGCTCACACACAGGATTCTTCAGTCCCTCACAGATCTCTTTGACTCCTGAGTCCAGCAGACGGCTGTTGTTCAGGTTCATCTCTTTCAGGATGGTTTTGGAGGAGAGAACAGTAGCTAGAACTGAACAGCTTTTCTCTGTCAGCTCACAATTATTCAGCCTAAACACAAAAACGGCATTATTTATTATTCTGATCATATTCAACTCTAATCAGATCAACAGGTCTTTATATCTGCTCACATATGTGGCGGACCTTTTTTATAATGAATAATCTGAATTTATAATGTACAAAATCATGTTCACTCACTTGATTTTCTGCACTTTGCTATGAGAGTCCATCAAAAGAGCAGAGAGCTTCTTCCCATCCAGGTCTCCTAATTTATCTTCACTCAGATCCAGTTCTTTCAGTAATAATGGACTTGTACCCAGAGCTTTAGTGAGATACTCACACGCTTCTTCTGCAGCAGGACTTTTCAAAAACCTACAGAAAGCAGATGATAATTTTAAATGAACAAATCTTGTTAATGTAATGCCTTTTGCTGCTCCCATTTTCTTTCTTAAAGGCAGTGTTGCAGCATAATGGCAGAATGTTTATCCTCTGCTGCATGCACTTTAGTAAATATTTGAAGATTTTAATTACCTAACAATCTGTAATTTATAGTGTCTATCCAGCAGTAAATCATTGAGCTGCTTCACTCCTGATTGTCCAGGATCATTTCCTGTGAGATCCAGCTCTATCAGGTGTGAAGGGTTTGATCTCAGAGCTGATGCCAGAGCTTTATATCCTTCTTCAGTGATACTGCAGTCTGAGAGTCTATGATACAAAAAAGTATTTTATTCTTGGTTGGGACAGAGACTTCCAAACTACTTGGAAGAACATTAACTATACATTCAGATACAGTATTTAGAACAAAACTGTACAAGTGACACAAGTAGTCAGTCCAAATAGAGAAATTGAAGAAGAATTGAAAAAAAAAAGTGAAAATCGTAAAACTGAATTGTAAGCCTCCATAGCAGTTTTTTCCAGATAATCTAATTAAATACACATGCATATTAATATGCAGACATATACATAAAAATACATACTTCAGTTTCTCCAATCTGCATTGTGTATTTTTCAACAAAGGAGAGATCTTTTTAATTCCTGAGTTTCCTAGTTTATTTCCACTCAGATCCAGCTCTATCAGGTTTGAAGGATTTGAATTAAACGCTGAAGTCAGAGCTGCACAATCTTCTGCTGTAATACTGTTATTATTCAGCCTACAGAGAGAAAAAAAAGACAGGGAACATTCAGCCTGAACCCACAACAACAATAACAAACAGATAAATCAATATCACGCTTCACCTAGTCTTAGCCCTCAAATACTTAAAGAATTAAACTATTAAAACATACTCACATCAGTGTGTTGAGTTTACAGTGTTTATCCTGCAGTAGAGCAGAGATCTGATTCACTCGTGTGTCTCCTAGTTCATGTAAACTCAGATTCAGCTCTCTCAGGAGTAACGGGTTTTTACCCACAATTCCAGTCACAAACTGACAGGCTTCATCTGCAGCAGGACTCAAAAACCTGCAGAAGAGAAGATGAAGCAAGTTTAATCAATTCACTACTAAACTTGGTGTAATAAAAAATAGCATCTGATCTGTGTTACTTATAATTTCTCTAAATAATGATATAAATAAGCATGCATCTTATCTGACCTCAGTTTTAGTTTACAATCTGGTTCTTTTAGAAGATCAAGGAGCTGCTTCACTCCTGATTGTCCAGGATCATTTCCTATGAGATCCAGCTCTATCAGGTGTGAAGGGTTTGATCTCAGAGCTGAAGCCAGAGCTAGATAACCTTCTTCAGTGATACTGCAGTCTGAAAGTCTAGAGGAAGACAAAAACAAGCAAATATATGAACTACTCGTTGAGTAATATCAGTTTAATTATCTGGATTATACCATTATGATCTATAATGCTCAGCATTCTCAAAAACAAATGTCAATATTTGTACATGTTTCTACACAAATAATTTAGATAAGCACATTTTTTACTACTGTAAGTGACACTGATAGATATCTATTCTGTCACAGAAAATCTAACCAACAATGAAATTATCACATTTACCCACAGCTGGAGACTGGTGGGTGTTAATTTCAGACGCTTTTAGCTGGTCTGGGGCTTCAATTTTACATTGAATCATGCTTAAATTAACTAAATTCAAACCTGAGTATCTTCAGTGTGCATTGTGAATTTCCCAGTAGTTTGGAGATTTCTGTTACTCCAGAGTCTCCTAGTGGAGTCTCACTCAGATCCAGCTCTTTCAGATTTGAGGGATTTGAATTAAACGCTGTAGCCAAAGTAGCACAACCTTCTTTTGTAATACAGATACAATTAGACCTGTAGAAGAGAGAACACAGTAAAAAAATAAATAAAATCTAAGCTATGCATACAACTTTTATTCACTGAGATTTTGAGATTTTAGATTTTCATAAATCCTTTCATAAATCCGTTTTGCAGTACTGTGCATTTGTTCTTCATATTGAGATTTACTTACTTAAGCTTTTCCAGTTTACACCGTTTGTTCTCAAACAGAGTCGAGAAGATCTTCATTCCCGTGTCTCTGAGTTTAGTTCCAGTTAAATCCAGCTTTTTCAAATTTGAAGGGTTTGAATTTAAAGCTTTAGCCAGAACACAACAATCTTCGTCTGTGATATAGCTATTATTCAGACTGCATAAAGAGAAAACTAATTTCAGTTTTAGACCCTACTTTTACTAATACATGTATTATACATGGCAATTGATGGTGGTAATATTATAAAAGCACCATATGGTAATTCAGTCATCAAATAAATAAAAAAACACTCAGCAGCAGGTTCAATACTAACTAAAATGTGTCAGCATAGTGGTAAAACTTACACCAGTATGTTCAGTTTACAGTGTTTATCCTGCAGTAGAGGAGCGAGCCGCTTCAAGTCTAGTTTATGTTCACTCAGATTCAGTTCTCTCAGAAGTAATGGGTTTTCATCCACAATTCCAGCCACATACTGACATGCTTCATATGCAGCAGGACCCAAAAACCTGCAGATGAGAAGGTGAAGCAAATTAAATTTGATTGAAAAAAACTTGGTGTAACAAGCAGAATGTGTTCTAAATAATATTTCTGTAATTTATTCATTTGCATTTCATATATTTTTATTATTTCATCATGTCTCACCTCAACAGTGTCTTTAGTTGGCAGTTCGGATCATGTCGTAAATCAATGAGCTGCTTCACTCCTGATTGTCCAGGATCATTTCCTGTGAGATCCAGCTCTATCAGGTGTGAAGGGTTTGATCTCAGAGCTGAAGCCAGAGCTTTATAACCTTCTTCAGTGATACTGCAGTCTGAAAGTCTAAATCAGGAATGAAAATAGTCCATTATGCTAATTAATCCATTATTCTAGAAATGTACTGAACAATAAATGCTAATTCTTCTTAGTTCCTTGTACAAACAAATTGAAAAATTATTTTCAAGCCAAAGATCTTTAATTCTTTCCTCGCCATTGTTGGAATTTTCCATCATTTATGAGACAACTCTTCCCTGCTATTGACAGAATGTTTTGACTTTCTATGTTTTCACTGTTATACGGTAGGATGCACTATTAAACATCTTCTCAAAGAGTATTGAACATCTGTATCAAAACATGACGAAGAAGCAGAAACAAGCGATAGAATATGTAAGCAGACGCAAATGTAAAATAACGTGATCATTAAACATTGTTCATTAAAGTCGTACTATTTGACAAAAACATGATTTTGTTCAAACTGTTTGCTTTTTGATTTGAAGTGATAAAAACAGAATGCATCATGCAGCATTATTTGGTTAAAAAGCTGAACCTCTGTTGTGTGATAGTCACACAACAAAATATTCTAATGGCCATGAAAATTTTGTGAAAATAATAATTTTATTAAATGTTGGCGATGACTGGCAACTTTTTTAAAAAGTGCTGGCAGGGAAAGAGTAAATATGAAGAAAAAAACATCCGCTCACCTGAGTTTCTCCAGTTTACGGTTCTCTTTCAGTCCATCAGAGAGCAGCTTCACTCCTGAATCCTGTAGATTATTATTACTCAGGTCAAGATCCTTCAGACTGCTGGAGTCTGAATGGAGAACTGAAGCAAGAGCTGAACAGCTTTTCACTGTTAGATCACACTTACTGAGCCTGAAAATAAACAGCTTGTCAGTGTATTCACATTCTAAAATTTGCTGTAGTGGTAGTGCAGCTGTAATGTTTAATGAGTAGTGACAAGTGCTAGGGCAAAATGCTAATGCTATAATTTACAGTAACTATATTGGTGCCACTAATTTCCCAATCCACTTGTCTTTAATGCTCTCATGTCACATGTGTCTTGTCTCTCACATGTCTTATGATCGGCTAACATATAGCTAGTTGGGTCAGGTAATGTTTTCTGGTTCTACTTCCTTGTTTCTTTTAATATGAGCCTTGCCACAAAACGTGTTTTTTGCACAATAAAGAAAAGGCAAAGAGCAGGTAAATTTTCATGGGGTGATCAACACCACCATGATTACATTATAATTTATCATTAAACATCCTTATCGGTCAAACAAAATATGTAAATTAAAGGGGACCTATTATGCAAAAATAACTTTTATAAGGTGTTTGAACACAGTTGTGTGACCGCAGTGTAGTGTTAATTTTGACAGCAAATTTTGATTTAGTTTTAGTCATAGTCTTTTGACGAAAATGCCATTGATTACAACCCGCACTGAAGCAGTCGGAAGCCATGCTGCGCAAGCCTGTAGAGCGAGCAACAGTGAGTTTTCTGAGAAGGGTATAACTGCAGCCTGGAGATCTCCAAATGGGAGAGGGAAATCCAAAACGAGGTGGGAGCTCCAAAATAGGGCGTGGCTTCCTCCCATTGACAGATGACACGCATGCACAATTTTTTATCCTAATCCACTTCAGCGTAAACTCCACCCCACAGCTGATTCTAAAGATTTTATTGGTTGCGCTATTCACAGTGTTGATTTACACGATTTCACAAAAAAATGCTAATCCCTAAACCTACCCCACACCTGACCCTAACCTTAACCAGTGAAATTGACTGCACGGCGGGATTGGCGCTGAATAGCGTGGTAAAAAAATGTTGCAGTTCAGGAGATAAACAGTTAATAAGATTATGCGATATGAGATTGCCGAGCCGGGCTGTTCCATAACTCCCCAACCAGACCTCACCAGACAATGGGACATTTTTAGTTGCACCCAGCGTCACTACCCCCTCCTACCCTATGAATCTCGTGCCTGGGACGCCCCCATTGCTTAAAACAATGCAACATTTCCCCTGCACCGCACTGGGCAGCTTGCGGCAGAGCTCGTGGATGATTCCCGTTTAAATCATTAAGCAGAGGTTCAAACTCCGGTCCAAACAACACTGGTCACGAGCTTTGAGCTCTGCTCTCATGGAGAATATTTATTTATATAGCATATTTTATTTCAGGACAACTAGAAACAATGTTTCATTTGTAAAGTTTTATTGTGAAATGCAAGTCAATAACAATTGGCTGAAACCAGAGTGAATGGTGAAAGTCTTTGCACAAAGAGACCCTGCCCCATTTTGGAGGTTCTGCCCACTTTTGGAGTTCACGCCCCATTTTGGAGATCTCCGGTCTGCAGTTATACCTACTTGCGTTTTCCCACGGTTAGATCAGGACGGTACAATGCAAATGTACTGTATGTAACTCCCACATAAGACATCAGACCTCCTGACTAAGTCTGACTGGATATCTTCCCAAATCGTCCTTCCCTAACATTTCCGTCTCGTTTTTATTCGCTGACGAAAATGAGAGTATATTTTCACTTTAGTTTTTTACATTAAAAACTGTTTTTTACTTAGTTATTGTCTCGTTTTGATGAAAATTATGACGAAAATAATTCATCAATGAAATTAACACTGGCGCAGTGTGTGAAAACAACCAGCCTATAATGGTAAAAATCCACCCACCCATTTTTTTATAATCCTAATAAATCATGAACAGCCTTAGAGATTTGTCTGTTGTCACAACTTACTTCAGTATCTCCAATTTACACGTCTCCAGTCCAATGCAGAGCTGCGTCACTCCTGAATCCAGTAGATTGTTATTGCTCATATTCAGCTCTATCAGATTGTTATCTGATCCGAGAGCTTTAGCCACATTTGAACAGCTCTCATCTGTTAAGTCACAATCATTTAGCCTAGAAGAAAAAAAAAAAACAGAACACAAAGAATTCTGAGTACTGAGTAAAAATATCATATCACCCAATTTAAATTAATGAGTAAGAACTATAGAGATATCTTTTTTCAGATGCAAAAACATGACTTATATTACTTACAGAGCTCTTTTGGAGATTTTCAAAACTTCCAATAGCCTAAAGAGACACTCGTCTGATTTCTTGAACTTCTGAAGGTCAAACTCCTCCATCTCTTCCTCTGATGTCAACAAAACGAAGGCCACAGCAGACCACTGGGCAGGAGAAAGATCACCAGATGAAAGACTTCCTTCTCTAAGTTGAGTCTGAATCTCGTTCACCAGAGTTTGGTCGTTCAGTTCATTCAGACAGTAGAACAGATTGATGGATCTCTCTGGAGACATCTTCTTATCTTCTAATTTCTGCTTGATGTACTGAACTATTTCCTTGTAGTTTTCGTCATTGCCATCTTGCTGTGTTAACAGACCTCGTAACAGTGGACGATTGGTCTGGAGTGACAGACCGAGAAGGAAGCGAAGGAAAAGGTCCAGGTGTCCAGTTTCACTCTCGAGTGCCTTGTCCACTGCAGTCTTGAGCAAATCAATCATGGTTTCATTTTTGTTTTCCTGTTCTGTAGACTCATGATGATCAAACACACTTTTCTTGTTGAGGTCTAGAAACAGATGTGCATAAAGGGCTGCAATAAACTCTTGAATGCTCAAGTGAACAAAGCAGAAAGTGGTACCAAGAATGATCCCTTTTTCCTCCTTAAACATCTGGGTACACATGCTTGAATACACTGATGCTTGGGAGGCATCAATACCACAGGATTCCAGATCTGTGTCATAAAAGAGCAGATTGTTTCTTTGCAGCTGATGAAATGCCAGTCTCCCCAGTGAAAGGATGGCATCTTTATCCCAGGAAACATCTGGTGTGTATTCTCCATCATATTTTCGTCTGCTCTGCAGGATCTGAAAGCGGAGAAAGTGTGTGTACATTTGTGTCAGAGTCTTGGGAATGTCTTCAGTATTTGATTCCTGCAGTATTTTGGAGGCGTCATCAGCCTGACTGTTTTTCAGAACATTATTTCTTTTCTCCTCTAAAATGCTCTGGAGAACAGTGGCTGAAATCCAGCAGAAGACCGGGATGTAGCACATGATAAAAAGACTCTTTGATTGTTTAACATAATCAATGATTTCGTCGGCCAGATCCGCATCTGTGAATCTTTTTCTGAAGTACTCCTCCTTTTGTGCATCATTGAATCCTTGTACTTCTGTCACGCGGTTAATACATTCGGGAGGAATTTTAATGGCAGCTGCTGGTCTGGTGGTGATCCAGATGAGAGCAGAAGGAAGGAGATTTCCCTTGATGAGGTTTGTGAGGAGAACATCCAGAGATACTTGTGATGATACATCACGGCAAGTCTCATTCCCCTCAAAGTTCAGAGGAAGACGGCATTCGTCCAAACCATCAAGGATGAACAGTAATTTAAATTTATCATTTCTTGCAAGGTTCAGTCCTTTTATCTCTGGGAAAAACTTACGTATAAGACTTGTCAAGCTTTGTGTTTCTTTCTCCTTTAAGTTCATTTCTCGAAATGCAAGAGGAAATATGAAAGTAACATCCTCATTTTCTTTACTGTCAGCCCAATCCACAATAAACTTTTGCACAGAGACTGATTTTCCGATGCCAGCAACTCCTTTTGTCAGCACAGTTCTAATCTCGTTTTCTTGGTCAGGTGCTTCAAATAAATTTTTGCATTCAACTGGAATCTCTTGTGATTCATGTCGCCTGTCAGCAGCCTGAACTTGTCCTGCTTCATTTTGGATATTGACTTGTTTACTAACACTCAGAGTCATATAGAGATCTGTGTAGATGTTCTTCAGAAGCTTGGAGCCCCCTTGCTTTGCAATTCCTTCAGATACAGATTGGTGCTTCTTCTTCAGGTTTGATTTTAGTGGTCGCTGATGAATGAGGACCAGCTCATCTAACACACAAACAAGAACAAAAATACAGAAAGATATGCATCAAGATATGCACCATTTTATATTTCATAAGTGACAATGACAAATTGTTATGCCTAAGAACCTCTTACCTTGTAGAGTATCTGCAGCCTCAACTTGTTCCATATCTCTCAGGAAGAAGAGTGTCATATCAAGAGCTGCTTCTTTGATATCACGCATTTTCTCTGTAAAGTCCTGCACAAAGTACTGTGTATTTTCTCTATTTAATATTTTCTTAAACTTTTCCAGCTCATTCTTCAGAAATACAATAATTTTTTTCTCAAGATCCTGAAAACAAATCAAGAAAAAATAAGTCCATGTGTGTTTTAGCAAGGCGGTCTATGTTGCAAGTTGGTGAATGAAGATACTTGCCAGGTTATGTGTCACTACTCTGCTTTATTAATTTATCCAGTGTAAAACCCGGACACTGCCACATAAATGTGGCTTTTTGTTAATGACTGTCCTACTACAGGTTTTAACACAGAGTAACAGCTCACTACCAGTTACAAAAGACACTGTAACAGTCTGTCACAGGCAATTCTAGTTGAATTTTTCATCAATTAATTTCTTAAATTATCCTTTGACTATGTTCTTGCTCGCCATCTAGTGGCGCAAGTTTTTTTTTTTGGTCCGATGCCAAACTTACTTGCCGACCCCTGGTATAGCAAGGTAAAGTGGTGATGAATACAAACACACAAACAGAGATACCAAGAACCTTGTATGGATCAAATCCAATAATAAACATGATTTTTGGTATCTCGGTTAATGTGCTTTTGTATTCACTGCCATTCATTTGTCACACAGCTGAAACATCTCTACTATTTTATTTTTGAGTTGAGATTTTAAAAAATGAGGGATTGTTAGAACATCAGTTAACAAGAGAAAAAAATCTATTTATATTAAGTTAAGTTTTAAAAAGTATTTAAATAAAAATTAAATACAATTTGTTCAATAACCTATTAGTATGTTAATTAATTAATTAATTAATTATAGCATTTATGAACTTTTACTTGCCTTGAAGATCCAGAGGAGATTTTCTCTGAAATTCTTGCGGTTGCTGTAATTCTTGTAGTTTGATTCTGATTTCTCAAACTGAACCCTGGTAGCAAAATAAAGGTGGATTAAAAAAAAAAAAAAAAACATACTATTGGCTCAGTTACCCAAGAGGGTCTGGCTGCAGCCTTGCAGTTGCACTCTCAGACTTGCACTCTCAGACATTTGCGCTTCTGCTAGCGACGTCACTTGCAGTCTTTATTTTGTTCTATTTTTTTATTATTTTTTGTTTGAATCTCTCAACATTTTACAACAGTAGTCAGGTGGTGAAGACAAGAAAAAAGAAACTAAATTACGAAGTCACTTGCAATCGCCACTTGCACTCTCCGATACCTGTGACGTCACCTGCAATCCACACAAATCATGCTTGTTGCCAATGGAGACAAGACATTGTGGTGGTGATTAAACGACTAAAACTAAATTAGTACTATAATGTACAGGGTCCTGCAAGAAAAAGACAAGACCCACAAATCCGTGACCAGAACAGCAGAATATAAACGCAATGCACAAAGTCTCTGGTTTCGCTGGTACCTGTGATCAGTGACAATAAAGGGCTCATTCATTAAGCGGTTTCCTCTTGTAGAAAAACATAAACACTGTGCACTATCCTCTTGGTTGTAATAACAGACTTTAATACAGTTGCCAGTGGTGGAGGTAATGAATTACAACTACTCACGTTACTGTAATTAAGTATTTTTTTCGGGTACTTGTACTTTGAGTATATTTTTAAAGCTGTACTTTTACTTGTACTGAAGTACAAATTAAGCAAAATAATCTACTTCTTTACTTTTAAATCATAGTTCGTTACGGAGTACGCACACAATTTGAATTCATATTCAAACCTTTGACGGCACTTCAGTAGCCAATTAAGTTTACTCAAAGTTTGGAGAAGCAAACTACATGGTAGTGTTATCATAAATATCTATATTTTGATACCGATACTGAAATATCTGACACGGTTCCATTACTCATTTTCCACAGTTTCTCTCTTTCCTCTCCAACAGTGAGTTTGACACGCATCCGCCTCCTGACAAATACAGAGTCTGAATGTCCGCGCGGGATTACAGGTATTCCGCATAATTTTAATCATTCTCACGCAAATGTGGCGAGCGCTTTATTGTAACATGAGAACAGTCATGTAATCGCAGAAGCGAGCTCTTAAATAGGTCTAACTTGAAATGAACTCCCTGTCCTTTCACTCCGATATTGCTTGTGCGCAGATTGTGTGCAATCGCGATCTCTCCGTGCTTTTAAAGTAGAAATTATTTCTCTTTGCTCTCTTTGCTCCTTCAGAATATATCCACGCCTGACCGATGAAAATCCTACTAGAAATGTTATTGACTGTAAGTGAAATGCACCAGAAATTCTTTCAACAATCAGAGATGGGACTTTAATTTCTTTACAATGTAAGTTTACGCTAGAAATGTTTTGGAATGGGATATTTGTCTGATTTGTACATGTAAATAGCCTAGTCTGCCTAACTGCATCACTACATTATACAGTCATTACCGGTCAAAGTCATCTGATGTTCTATTTATCTAAATAAATAGGCCTAACATATGGCTCTTAAATCACTGCTTATAAAAATTCAGCGTTGTCAAATTTTGAATACCTCAAACTGAATTGAGGTCATTTGTTTTATATTATTACTGACTGTGTACTTGTCTTTTTTTTTTTTTTTTTAAATTCAATTCAGTTTGAAATCAAACTTGAAATCAAGCTTCCTTGTGCTGTAAGCTTTTGCAACAAAGTTACCCTATTTTAAAGACACAAATACACAGAATGAGCAAATGTTTAAGATTGAGATTTTTGTAATGGTAATATATCAATATTTATATGTATGTAAATAAAAGCCTATATTAAAATCTGTTCATTATATAAAGCGAATGTGTCTTTTTAGAAGACTTGGATTAAACCAATTTCAAAGCTTGAAATAATGATTGCCTTGAAAAAATGGATGGATACATTTTTTTTTAAAATATTATAATATCTATATGGCAGTATACAGTATGTGGTAGTTTTGCAAATGGTATTGAAAATAATTAGTCATCATGAAATCAAAAATGACCCTACTTACTTTTTTAGTGCACATTACTAGTCTTGTGGTAAACAATTAAACCGTGCAAGTCAATACACTGGGAAAAAAAATTGTCTGCCGTCGCTTCCACTCTGGAATGGTGTTCTGGCTCTGATGACGTCAGTTTGACAGCTTCGGGACAATCCTCTTGTTAAGTATGACGTAAAGACTGCTGTTTCCGGGTCCATGCCTCTATTTATTTCACTTGAGAATACTATCTCAACAGACATTTATGAGCACTAGTTAATTAATATTACATATTTAAGCTAAGCATTTAAAAATTTGCTGTGCACACTACAGTCTCCAATACAATACATGAGTGTGTATATGCACAGTTTGTTGTTTTTTGGGGCATCTGGCAGAGTGTTAGGACCCAGAAGCGGTGAAGCATGATATCAGACGTAACAAGCAGATATTCTTAACCACTATCCAACCGTGAATCTGCTCTGAGCAAGAGGTGGAGTGGAGGTGCACCCAGGGTGCGAACTACGGGGGAGCTAGAGGGAACTCGGCTCCCCTTAATAAGACATGGGCTCCCCTGAAAACGTGATTTGTGAAATTTTGGGGGTCTGAAAAGTCTTTGTAAGTCATTGTAAGCCCTCTTTTGAAGCATGCGCAAGCGCACGAACCCCCCGTTATAAAAAAAAAATAAGTGGGCTCCCCCAAAGTCCACGGTATAGTTCAAACACTGGGTGCACCACAATAAAACCCCGCCCTTTATTGAATATATTCCATTTCACTTGGAAATACATCACAACATTGAAGTCAGTTGCATCTTCCGGTTCACGGGTACTTTGATATTGATATTTTTCAAGGTATTGAAGTTAGAAATTCCTGTATCATGACCACTAATTCACGTACTTTGTCAATAAGATATAAGTGGGTTTTGTTCAAAGTAGCTATTATCCACATAGATCTTTGATATGAATATTTTTTGGTAATTCATTAAATATCGCCGGGTAAAAAGTAACTAGTAACTAGTACTCTGAGTAGTTTTTGAGAGGAGTACTTTGTACTTTTACTTAAGTACTGTTTTGACACCAGTACTTTTACTTGTAATTGAGTATTATTTCAGCACTGTAACAGTACTTGTACTTAAGTACAAATTTTCAGTACTCTTTCCACCACTGACAGTTGCATATGAATTCCTCATGAACCTGATTACTCAAATGTATGATCTTATTTAAAGGTGCTGAATTTAATATATTTTCATTTTTATATGGATCACTGCACATGATCAATTTGCTTCAAAAAGCACATTACATGTCAAAACTATGTTACTTTTTTTGGCTTATTATTTTAAGGAAAAAAGCAATTTTGGCAAAGTAGATCCATTTATTATGTAATTTATTGTAATAAATTTGAAAAAATACACTGTGGTATATTGTGTTCCCACCTGTTGAGAAGAAAAGTTGCCAGTTCCACATCATCCTTCAATCCCTTCTGTGCTTTTAGAGCTTCCCACCGTGTAATTTCTGCACCAATATTTACTGTGGACTTGTGTCCTTTGTTACTAAACCACACACAAAAAGAAGAAAATCACAAAAAATAACAGGTTCACAGCCGTCAATATTATATGGTCAAACCACTGCCAAACCAGCTGCTTACTGCTACCTACACTTTATTAGCACAGAAAAGTGGTTGATGGGAAATACAGTTTTATTATTTAAAAAAAAAAAAAACAGAACACAAGAAATACCTTTTGAAAGGTGATGGTGTTTTCTCATTGACGTTTGGTCCATCTCCCTTTGAATGGTCAGTCTTCATAGATACAAAGCTGGATACATGCGAGTCAGATCTTTCACTAATGAGAAAAAAAAATAACACAGTAGGTACTTCAGTCATATTTAAAGAGGTCTTGTGTTGCAAACTAACTGTTCTGTATTTCCATGGTGAATGTATGAGCCCTAGTGGCTACCTGTGTAACTAAACGAATATGTTAATTAAAGATTAAACAGTTTGCAATACATTTATGTTCTGTGATTCATTTTTGTATTTAGTCGAGTTCTATTACATACACCACAGTGAGGAAATAACATCACTATAATGCAAAAGATATGAAATACCTTTTCTTATTTGTTTTGATGATATTGTGGTACAATGACAAATATTTCAGCAAATCTTACAGAATTAAATTGTGCATGTCAATATAATTCTCTACAGTATGTTATGCATGATGATAGATTTGGCTTAATTTAGTAATAAATAAACAATGGATCACTGTAAGATGGTTGGAGGCAAAGATGAAATACCTCTTGTTACATGGTGTTTTTTCACTGAAGTTTGGTCCATCACCTTTTGAATGGTCACTCTTCATAGACACAGAACTGGACACATGTGAACCTGATCTTACACTAATGACACAAAGAACAGAGAGAAACAACACTAATACATACACTATTCAGTCTAATGTTGCAAATGGTAATTAAACAAATGGAAGGACATATTCATGTTTGGTTGCAAGATCTATTTTCCATGGTGAATTTATATCTCTTTGTGGTTGCCTGTGTAACTGTATTACTGTAATAAAGCTCCAGATTGTGTTCAATAAAGAGTAAAGCAGACATTGTGTTCTGTGATTTATTCTTGTATTTAGTCAAGGTCCAGTACATATACCACAGTGAAGAGATTAGTTAACATCACTGTAATGTAAAACACAAGAAATACCTTTTTGAAGATGATGTTTTTTTCTCGCTAAAGTTCGGTCCGTCACCTTTTGAATGGTCACTCTTCACAGACACAGAGCTGGACACATGTGAACCTGATCTTACACTAATGACACAAAGAACAGAGAGAAAAAACACTAATACATACACTATTCAGTCTAATGTTGCAAATGGTAATTAAACAAATGGAAGGACATATTCATGTTTGGATGCAAGATATATTTTCCATGGTGAATTAATGTCTCTTTGTGGTTGCCTGTGTAACTGTATTACTGTAATAAAGCTCCAGATTGAGTTCAATAAAGAGTAAAGCAGACATTGTGTTCTCTGATTTATTCTTGTAGTCAAGGTCCAGTACATACACCACAGTGAAGAGATTAGTTAACATCACTGTAATGTAAAACACAAGAAATACCTTTTTGATGATGATGTTTTTTTCTCGCTAAAGTTCGGTCCGTCACCTTTTGAATGGTCACTCTTCACAGACACAGAGCTGGACACATGTGAACCTGATCTTACACTAAAGACACAAAGAACAGAGAGAAAAAAAACACTATTACATGAGATTATTCAGTCTAATGTTGCAAATGGTAATGGTAAAATGGTTCATCTTCGGGAACTCAAATTAAGATTTTTTTTATGAATTCTGAGAGCTCTCTGACCCTCCATAGACAGCAATGTAACTACCATGATCAAGGTCCAGAAACGTAGCAAGGAGATCGGTAAAATAATCCTTGTGACATCAGGGGTTCAACCATCATTTTATGAAGCTACGAGAATACTTTTTGTATGCAAAAAGAAAAAAAACGACTTTATTCAGCAATTCTTCTCCACGTCACCCTATAGCGCCATTTTGGAGAGTATCCACTGAATGTAAACGTGTATGCTGTTCTGTGTCAGCTGCGTCACACGGATACGTTGTTTTCGTTCAAATCAAAGCACAAACAACGTAGAAAACGCATACACTGTTTAGGTTCAGTGGATACTCTCCAAAATGGCGCAACGGAGGAGATGAATTGTTGAAAAAAAAAAATTTTTTCTTTTGCACACAAAAAGTTTTCTGGTAGCTTCATAAAATTATGGTTAAACCCCTGATGTCACATGGATTATTTTACCGATCTCCTTGCTATGTTTCTGGACATTGATCGTGTACAGGGGCGGACTTAGCCATTAGGCAAAGGTAGGCGACCGCCTTGGGCCCCCAAAAGCCAAGGGCCCCCTAAAATGCTTTTCATATAGGATATGCGCATTAAGCGCTGACACGCGAACGGTTGCTGTTTACGGTGTTTATTACCACGACAACCGTCCGAGTCAGTGGCGCCTGCAGGTGTATGGCTGTACGCACTGTGAGTACCATGAGCGCTCAGACTGATCTGAGATTTGCCCCGCAAACATTTCGCCTAAACCCATGCCGTTAAATATGAATTTATCAGTCTTTTGCATGCCAAAGTCAATTTCTTCATAGAAATATTACGCCAAATAGAAGCAGAAAATCGTGCTATACGCACTTTCATGAGATCGGGTTAGCCTACAACAGTTCATTTGTTGGCTATTTCTCAAATGGGAATACAACGAATTCATGACAAAGTTTACATTCAAGCTACCCATAAAATTTATAGTGAAAAGTACTTTAAAAGCGTCTGAAATGCAATAAAGTCATTTTAAAGCTGTTTTTTAAAGCATTTGCTGCATGGATAAAAAATATAAATGATTAACATATCATACAAAATTGCGTTGCAGTAAATCCTTTAAATTTTAAGGTATTCAGAACAGAGCAACATAAAAATCAGAAAAAGCAGCTATACAATTACAGGACAAAGTTTTACATATATGCCATTATAATTAGTGTTTTATTTTTTAACTGTACGGAATTATAAAATAAAACGCAAATTATAATCGGGCCTTCCATCAATTATAGTGATGAAAAAATGACTCGCCATCTCCTAATTGGATGTGCCATAGAAAGAAATCAGAATCAGAATCAGAATCAGAATGAGTTTTTATTGCCAGGTATGTTTACACATACGAGGAATTTGTTTTCATGACAGAAGCTCCACAGTGTAACAGAATGACAGTGACAGAACAAAAAACACAGATAATAGAGACACTAGAAAGCATTTGTTTTCTTTATTTTATAAAAGCACAACGTTTTGTTGATATTGTGAGTGCACACAAATAAAACTAGACCCTTTACAGTTTAGAATGATGTATTACTCTTACCTTTATGAGCAAAAATGACTGCGTATTTTAAGATGTTTCCACTGTTAGAAAAAAGCAAGTGATGGCGCTGGCACCTCCGTGTCCTGCAGAGTGCGCTTCAGCTCTCCGCACAAACTATTGGATATGCGTCTAACAGCGCACATTTATCTAGGTTAAACATTTTTGTGATGTACCTGAACTGTTTTATATATAGATTTTATTTTAGGCAAGTCCTGATGATTTGAGAAGGCTAAATTGATCAAACATAGGCTATAGGTTATGAGAAATTCACTGTTTGCCGCTGGCCTTTACTTAAAAAACAAAAAAACTTACATTTAACGAACAAAAAATACTCCAAATGTTTTTCTAAATTTACTTGATAAAAAAAACGAAACGAAATATAATCACTTTTCCAT